CAGGAGGTCATGGACATAAATTGGAACAGAAGAAAATCTGATTGGACAGAAGAAAAGAAAATCGCGATAATAGTTGGATATCAGAGCAGGGTCCAGGGAGATTATGGAATTACAATCTTAGCGCTCGCCTGGACCTTGCCCTGTGCTGCCTGTCAGTTTTTTACGGTTTGTCACTGCAAGTTTGACTTTCTTGTATTCAATTATTGTTATTTCTAATATACCAACTCCTGAGGTGTCGGGTGGTTGGGGTCTTTTTTGAGTAAGTTCTGCTATGTTTTGCTGCAACAGCTCTCTCTGAGTAGGATATATAAATATTTATAGTTCTTATTGTTGTTCACACTGCTGTGTACTCAGAAATCCTCATTTCGTACTGGTACAGAATTGGGATTCAGGAAGACATTTCAGCTAGAGAACAGTGTCCCAGATCAGCATCCCAAGAAATATCAATCTTCACATGATTTAGCTTATGAAACAGGAATGAGGGAAGGTAACAGACTGGCTACTTGTAACTTTTTCATAGTGGAATGAAAAAAAAAAAAAAGTACATCTTCTCTGACTAGGTAACTTTTCTCTCCTCTGGATGGTTGTTTGGGTTGACTTCCCTTAGGAAAGGAAATGCAGAATGTAGGGAAGAGGAGCGGCCACAAAAACAATCATAGTTTGCAAACAACTGAAGGGGAACATTATGCAAAAAAAATGTCAGGACAAGAAAATCACCAGAGACGGTATCTACAGTCATTATTGAATAAAATATGCATTAGCTGCCAAAGAAACAGGACTAAAGTTGAAATTCTGTCACGATGTTAGCCAGCCCAGCTGCTGGCTGCACTGGTCTTGTGCTCCATTTCAACATGTTTAATTGTGAACAATATAAAGTTGTTTAGCCAGCTTAACAAAGTAAAAGAAGCTGGCTGGGGGTGTGATGAGTGCTGGAAGAGGCAGCAGCACAGCCATCCAGCCTTGCATGCTGTGCAGCCATAACTCAAAGGGTGTAATGACAAGAAAAAGCCACCTTCTCAGAGGTAGCAGCTGACTAGTTAAACTGCACTGCTGACTGTAGGCTGAAGGATCACGCAGTTGGAGCTCCTCACCCTGCACTCTCTGCGATGGCGTTTGGCTCAGCAGAGCTTGTGCAGGCTTTGTCCCCTGTGCCAGTTTCACACCCTCTATCAACAGCTCTGTGGGAGCCCCAGCTGCAGGCTTGGATGGCGGATCGAGTCCTACTGTCTTGGAGGAAGTCTACCCTGCCAGCTGTCTCATACTCAAAAGAAACACTCAAAAATACTCTGGAGAAAAAATATGTTGAGAAGGCAAATGGTAAAAGCTATGGGAAACGATGTGAAAAGGGCAGAGTGCTGTAGGTTGGGTTGTTGTCCCCTCAATCATTTAAAAAAAAGTCTCAGCCAATGCATGGACAAGATTTAGTAGGGTTTCCATCGGACATAAAATAAACCCTACATCCACTCCTGCTGTTCTATTCGTTAGAAAGCTGCTACCCAGAACACCAAATCGGGTAACAATAAAAAACAAAATGTCTGTAATAAAAGATCTCAAGATCAGCCCAATGCCTTCCTGTAGATTGATGCACTTTCAATTAAAAGAAGTTCCTGCCAGGGAAAGCTCTTATCAAAGGACTCATGGGAGCGTGTAGTCATCATTCAACATCAGTAGCACACATATGCTTTTCTCTGAAGTATTCTGGTCGCATTGACTGTCTTGAAGGAACTACTGCATGGGGCATGGGGTGCCATGAATGCGGGTTTTCCATCTGTTTGTGCAGTATTTAATTTCTTTCTCAAGTCCATGTGGATAGGTGCCATGTCTAAGTCAGAATAATGAGGTCTGGGTGGTGTGTGCAGATTGGCGTACGGTCTGGGAACTGGAGCCAAGAGCACAGGTGTGGGCCGGAGCTCAGTTTGATGCCTGTGGTACGGTTGGTTTTAGGCTTGATGTAGTAGCTGCACTGAGCTGAGGACACTGGCTGGACATGGGAAGCTAAAATGTTTAGGTGGATTGGAGCAAATTATTTTCTCCAAGGGAATAGCTTATTGTCATTTCACTGCACTCAGAGATTCTAGTTCTTCTCCAGGCAAAATAAAAGGTCTTTCACTTGATCACAAAGTTTATGCAGAGATATTCTGCCCTACTCCACTGTATTCACACACCCACACCTGTGTCCTTCATACTTGGCCCACCTCAGTCTTTTTTTGTGCTAGTGTTGGCTGCCCTGCCTGTGTGGTGTGCTTACCTCCCATTACTTCATGTCTTTACAGTCCTTCCTGCCAGCTCGCGGCTATGATTACTAGTAAACTCCATTTGCCTTTCCCTTTTTGTCTGTTCAGACCTGTTGGTTTCACCTCCTCTCTCTGGAAGCTGCTTTCATCTTAAACTGCTTTTGGCTTTTAGTTTATTATTATTAAACTTCCACTTTCTTCGTTTTTTCAAATTTATCCAACATCGTAATGATGGCACTTCACAGCGATACCAGAAATATTTATTGCCCTTTCAAAATTCAGTGATGTAAGTTAGACAAACCTAGAAGAAAGGGTATGTAAAAGTGATTTTGACTTATACGACCCATATAGCTTTTTGGATTTTTATTCTCTCCTCCCATGCTTAAAAAATGGTAGAGTTCTGCAAGAAAGATAATCCTTATTTAGTATGTTGAAAAGAAGAGGTTGTGCTATACATGAAGGAAACGAAATAAAAAAAATAGAATCAGGTTCTCCTTAAATACAATTTTAAATAGCAATGAAGGTAAAATAACATGTATATTGAATGGGTGCTGGCCATGTAAATTCAGACTTAATTAAGGAGTGTTTTGTCTGATCTTTAATCTGTATCCCTTGTCTTTGCTGCAACTGTAGCACAATCTGAAATGTCTTTTATTTTTGCAATATTATCTGTAAGTGTTTATGCAGCAAGAAGAGGCAAGAAAACAAAATGTAAGTATAGCTTGCATTTGCGAAAAAACAAATAGATGGTAGGCTGGAGAGTATGGTGGGAGAACCGCAAAGGTGAGAACAAGAAGCTTCATTTTTATCATGGAAAAGATAGAAATGAACTGAAAGGAATTCCATGTGAAATGATAGGTGAGAATACAGAAGGAAAATAGGAGCTACAATATGTTGGCTGGACAAGAGAAAATGAGTGACAAAGATAAATGATTGCTTATGCTAACAAGCATAGACATTGCCATGAACTAACAAGCATTGAGACCACTGTGAACTACCAGCATTTTAGAAGCAAGATGAAAGAAGAGTGGATTTGGGGCATATATGGAAACAGTGATGGGAAAGTTGCTGTGTCTACTGCTGAAAAAATCACTTAATTGTGCCTGTTTTTGGATATTGTTTTGTTACCCTCTTTATGGAAGTTGAAATAGTTTTTAGTAATTATATGTGTGTATATATATAATATATATATATATATATTTTGCACTAAAGGTGTCATTTCATCTTGGTGAAATATGGACCATTATGTATCAAAAAGATTTTAAAGAAATATTTATGTAATGTTCTTGAAACACTAAGGATCCATAAAACGAGTAACACCTCATTTTGTCTTTATAATTGTGCCTGGAAAATATTTTGGGTTTCTAGTAATACAGTTTTAAGTTGACTGAGGTCATTTTAACTGTAAAACTCTTAAATACCAAACTCTTAGAAGTACTAAAGCTTATAGTTTATGCTGGTTGCTTGTTTCCTATAGTACTGATGAGGTTTGAACAACAGGGGTTGCTGGCAAGCAATAACATCTTTACTCCCCTTTCTCCCTTCCCTAGTGCAGGTGCACATGCACACACTTACAAATGTATTCAAGCCAATTTTGTATCATGTTTCTATATGCACTTTCATTCTGTTCTTACTTTGATGCGCGTCTATGAAGAAAAAAATGTTACCCTGAGCATAAGGGCATACAAAACATTTAAACACTACCACCCCCTTTCATATTTGCAGAGTTCAGAATACCAGTCCAGTGCAGAATAATAGGATTTCAGGGCAAGCTGTGACTAATATTCAGGGACAGAAGGAAGGAGTCCAGAATGGCAGATGGTAAGCTGTATTAGACAAACTTTGAAAAAGTTCTGTTGGGAAGAGAAGCCTTAGTCTTAGACTAGTTGAAGAGTCTTGGTGAATTTAATGTTTTGCAACATGGGAGAAGTCTGTGATGACAGAGGGAATTTGTTGTGTATTTCCCATGAAAAAGATCTTCTTGTATAATCAGTAGTTTTAATTGCATACAAACTATAAAGTCCTGATTTGTTTAGAAATATTTTTCTTTAACTTTTTTTATTACCCAAATTCTACCCTTTATTAACCCTGCATTAAATATTCCTTTAATTTTTAGTGCACATTTGTTTGTAGATTCATTTTATTTAAAATAATGATTATTTTACAGCGATATTCACCCTGCTAATGTATAGAAAGAGAACAGCAATGTCTCCTTTGAGCCATACGTTCAACATACCAGTGTCCATCTTGTATGGTGGAGCAAGGCAGGGATCCCTTAGTGAGCAGAAATCCAGGCTTGTAAGTCCAGGTTTGCCGTGCAGCAGAGTGAAGTCCTACCAAAATAATGTAGTCATTCTGGGTTTGCCATCCACAAACTACAATAAGTCTTGCTTTTGTTTTAGGGGAGTCTGACCCTGCTGTGTTAAGTCAAACGTTAAGCTTGAGACAATTTAAAACTCCTTGATTAAGTGTTATTCACAGAGAAACGAAACAGGATCCTGTGTGTTTTCAGTACAAACTTCTATTATGCTGTAGGTACACAAAATAGTATTTTGGATTTATTGTAAATTTTAGCAGTGATAGAAAATGTATCTGGAGTTTAAATGAAAAATGTTTTCCTTCCAAAAAACAATTCTAAAATGTGTTATTTTTCTGTAATGCAGATCGAGTTTTGGTTCGAATAAAAGACTTGACAGAGGAGAAGGCTGATGAGGTGGTTTGGGTTCGTGGCAGAATTCATACGAGCAGAGCTAAAGGTGAGATGCCTCCAGGGATCTGATTTTTATTTTCTCATTTTGTTGATATAAACTGGACATTTATTTTGGTTTCATGATTTTTCAGTAAAAGGAAGCAAAGCAAATACTATTTGTTAATTATGTCTTGCATATAAGAAAACTTTGCCACTTGATTACTCAGTGTGCACTTCAATTGGCTTACTCTATTTTCCACTCCTCTTCTCCTGAAAGGTGAAGAGGACATTTCATTTTCAGCTGAGCAGAAAATCAGGTATTATTATTACACTGTTGTAAAAGTAATTTTTGTTTTTATCACATTACAAAATACTGTGTGGACAACTGTAAATAATAATTGTAAAAAATTATGGTCATTCTGCTTTGGGGGAGCTCTTTGGGGGTGTTGAGATGAACCAATTTAAAGGCTCTGTGGAAAAAAAAATACTTTAAATACGTCAGTTGTCAGGCCAGCCGTATTTATTCTGCTGCGTATGAATAGTTTTACTGTACCTTTTCTTTGATAGGAAACAAAAATATGTATTAAAATTACAGATTTATTTCTTTTGGTTGTCTGTATCTAATTATTTCAGTTTGGATATAAGGTAGAGGAGAATCCTTTTGTGGGTTCTGCATAGTGTGGGCTGTCACAGTTGGCTGTCTGACAGCCATGTTTTTTCACTAGAATCAGAAGTTCTCTCTGGAGATCAGTTTGCCATATGCAAACTTAAACAGGCTTTGGCCTTTTCAGTTGACATCAGATCCTGACAACTGTTGTACTGGTTTCAGTTATGTTTGGCAGCTCTGTAGTGAGATACAAATACGTTGTCTTCCCAAGAGTTGAAAGAAAAGATCATAAAGAAATTATCTTCACAAATGAAGCTTAGCAGTAGTTGTAGAACTGGGAATAATACAAATAATTAGGGATGAAAATCCAGTGCAGACTATTGTCACAGAGTGTAGATTATTTTCTCTTTTTTTTGGGATTCATTTTCTTTTCTTAAAAAAAAAAAAAAAAGTCATCTGATGATTGTCTGTAATGCTGTTAGTTAAGATAAGGAGCTCAATGTAAATATATATGTATCACATATGTTTTAATGTATATTAGAATCTTACATTTAGGATGACCTGTGTGATTTCCTCAGTAGTTTTGTGGTATGGTATAACATGGAAGTTGTTCTTTGCTAGTTACAGAAATTGTGTAACCCCAAAAGCTGTGAAAACCTCAGTCATTACAACTTGGAATTATTCAGGCAGGAGACATGATCTAATTTAAATGTTAGTATACAAACATGAGTATCCTCATGGCTTTTTATTTTGTAAGTAGAGGAAAAGTTCAGATTACTAACAGTGTTTACTGTACTAAAGACAAATGTCTTACACAAACCTCTAAACCAAAATGGAATTGTTGTTTATTACTTGATGTATTTTATATAAGATAACTAATATGAAACATTTACTTCAGTCACAACAACATGTAACATGGCAACATTAACTTCCAGGAAGCTGTTGCTTTTCACCCTTCACCTTTGACCTCAGGAGAGACCGTGTTTCTTCATGAAATAATAATGTCTATTTTCAAAACTCTTAGTGCAACCTGAAGAATAAAAGCAAAGGAATCGATTATGGACACAGAGTGTTCTCAATTTATTGATTGTGCTTCTTGTTCCCATTCTTAGACTGACAAGACAGAACAATTCTGACGTTCAGGGAATGCTCTTAGGGAATACTGTATGCTTGTTTACTTAAGCTTTGGAGGAAAGAATCTTACAACAAAAGCAAATGTTTAAGAATAAAAAGTAACGTTAGCCTTTCCCACACACACTGTGGCGCTATTCCTACCGTTACGGAGAGGAAAATCTTGCAGGAAACAGGAAAATCTTGCACAAAAATAGCTTTATTTTTCTTAGAAGCTTGGATTTGACTTCTAAATAACCAACATAGCCTTTACTTAACCCTGTCTGGTTCTGACCAATAAACCAAATAAATGAATGTGAACAACTGCAAAATCCAGCTGTCTCATACAGCGAGCCACTCATGAAGTCCAATGGAAATTAACTGAAAGATGTGTAAAGAATGGGGTGTTGGGAATTTCTGTGAGTTGCACTAAAATTAAAGTGCTTGAGGCCCTGTGTTTTTTATCATAGATGAAATGTTATTTCTGGCTTTATTTTAAAGCCAGCCTAAGCTACTGATTGCGTTTATCATTGAACAGCAGTTGGGAAATCAGTCTGGGTTCTGCCAGGCAGCTGGGACTTCAGTGGCATGGAAGGCTGGAACTTGTTTTTGTTTTATGGATGCAAAGCTTTTATAAAACATCAAAATAGTATGTCTGAAAATAAGACGACCATGAAGTGCAAGTGGACCAAATTTTATTTTTTAAAAAGTGTTTTTTTCCTTTGCTGATAGATGTCTGTAACTAACGGTATATTAATTTGTATGACAAACAAATTTTCACAGTTTATGCAAAGTTCTTGCTTGCATCCTTTTCTTTCAAAAGGTCTCGTGTCATTTGGTATTTCTAAGAAAGGACATCCATTCCTGTTTGGTTTTCCGTGCTACATTTTAATGGAATTCTGTGTGATGTATTCTTATTTGTTCAGTGACTAAAAGTTTCTACCAATAAACTATCAAACTTTTTTAACCAAATTTTCTTTTGAAACTCTTTATCTGTTTAGGTCTTCGTGTATAGGACACAATATTGGTTTATTTTATAGAAGCTTAAAATAGTTTATTGTTGTTGAATAATTAAAGTTGGTCTTACTCTTTTCACTGAAATACCATGTAAAGATTTTGAAACACATGGAGAGCATCCTATAATCCTATTTTTTTTCACACTCTAATGCTTCCTTTTTTCCCGTCTCTTGATCTGGAACGGCATCTAATCGTGAACTAGATTTGGTTATGCCTCATCTGTTTGGTACTTTATTTTGCACGCATTAGGTTCTTTGGGGAAAAGTTGTTTCCTACTACAATTTTTGTAACTCCGATGTTTTAATTATTTCTATCAGTGAGGTTTGTTTCATCACTTATCTTCCATGTGATTAGAAATGATTATATTCTACAAACCATTTTCTTTTATCATAGAAACAACTACCATTACTCATGACAAGATTTGAGTCCTTTTGAAATGCAAATATCGATCAGACTTACAGTCTTGGGTTTAAATACAACTGCCAAACAAGTTTCCTCATTTGTTTCACTTGCTTTTCCTTAACTTTATACAAGTTGAGTGACATTGTTGCTGTCTTCAGCTGTGTATTTTTGTTTGAACACCTAATATTCTGTTGCAGAATCTCCATCATACTTCCTTAACTTCTTTGTGACTGAGATCCCAGAGAAAAATACTGTTTTCAATGAAATACTGTATCAAATACAAGACTAAGTAAGAAATATTGAGATGTTAAAGATGAGAGATAAGCCTAGCTCGTCCAAAAAACCCTTAGCACATAATGTCCTATGGAAAAATTGTACTTTAATTAGTTTGTCAACTTGCTGAAACACAGGCATATATATTGCTGAAGGCTGTATTTAATTTATGAGGCCTGTACTTTTCTAATTTAAATCTATGGGTTAATGTTTGCTTGTAGGAAAAATGTAAATCCTTACTATATTAGCTTTCTTAAGATATTGCAGCCTCTGGAATATGGAAATAGTTGTATGCTTTTTTTTTTTTTCTCCTGAAAATATGCAGTTATTTTTATTGCACTTTTTTGAAATCACAATCACAGGATAAAGGTATTTCACTGTAATTGTTATGTTTAATAGCATTTTAGTTGTTTTATGTGTTTGATTTTATTTCTGACATTGTATGTCATGATGTACATCTATCATGATTGTCTAATATCATGTAAATCATCTGCAGCTATGTGTCAAATTGTAATCTACATAATCACAAGTGAAAACCACAACTGTCTTTTTGGTATCACTGTGCACATTGGATATATGTTGTTTTGAATGTTTTCTAGTGTAAGGCAGCAGTAATTGGGAAGTAGCTCTAACAAAGCTAGCTCCTTATTCTCACAATTTTAATGGAAATGTCATGTTATGAGTCAGAATTTGGAACTGAAAAAGTATTGATGCATTTTGTCATTGTGCAACTGTGAGTATTTGTTGTCAGTATTCTCTCTCTGAAGAAACGTTTAAAATCACCATGTTTCCTTAAATGTAAGTTAAGTAATGAATATTTATTAGAGATGTGAACAGAAATATGAAATGATTGTAACTGTCACTTGAACAAATTAAAGGAGTTTTGTTGACTTGGAAATATCCATTTTAAAAGTCAACAAAGTGCATTTTATTCTTTGTAAATTACTATTACGTCCTATTAACTTCTTTTTCCCTAAGCTGTTCATGAATAAATTGCTCTTGCAGGAATTTTTATTTGGGTCTTTTAGGTTCTTGTCATTTATCAGAATCAATACTCCTTTTGTTCCCGTTCATTCTGAGTGTGTGGTGTATTATAGAATGAACAGTTGTTGGTATAGACCCTTGTGGTGCAAAATCAAGCCCATTTCTCTCAGAGTACATTTTTCAAATAAGCTCTATGCCTTTAATTTTAGAAGTGATGAAGTACATTTTAGAAGAGAAGAACTTATTTTAAAATAATGTATACTTAAAGCAGTTGTGACTGAGGCAACAAGTATGATTTCTTCTTACAGTTGAAGAACACTTGATATTCAAAAAGTTATGAATTGCAGTTTGTTCTGTCTAAATATTACTTATCTTGGAAGGCTTATTGGTACTTTAAGAAAGTGTCTGTTCACAGGTTCTGTAAGTCAGAATTACTTGATTTATCTCAACTTTGGTGTGTGTACTTGCAGAGCTGAACGTAGTTAGATCTAGCTATTTAGACAGGGAGGGGGAGAGGGAAACTTCCACCTCCCTGTCTCCCCCTTAAGAGCTCAGCTTAATATCAAAACAGTAAAGCATTTTTCTCATTCACAAAGCTATCGAGTAACTTGTCCTTAATACACCTGCGTTGTTTTTCTTTGTATTCAGGGAAGCAGTGTTTCTTAGTCCTGCGTCAGCAGCAGTTTAATATCCAGGCTCTTGTGGCTGTGGGACAGCATGCGAGCAAGCAGATGGTAAAGTTTGCTGCCAAGTAAGTAAGCAATTATATCCTGTTGTCAGAGTAAACAATGGTGGGAACCAGGACTCCCAGGGGTTGGGACCATTTTCACACATTAACATCAATGCTTCGTTTGTTTTAAAATGTAGTTATTTAAATTGTCAGTTCACTATTGCATTGAATACATTACACTGACAAAAGATAAAATAGAGAACAGGCTTGAAATTCATTCTGAACTGCTGAAGCAGCATTCTCTCGCCATAGACAACCTACATTTACTTTCAAGCTGGCTAACAAAAAGTCTGGCAAGCCGAGCTTAGTGGGGCACTTCATTTTGTGTGATGTTTGTGTGTGTCTGCACGTGTTAAGGGTTTTTCTTCTACAAGATTTGCAGTGTGGTAACATTATATTGCTAGAACTGGTGCAAAGAAGCTCCACATTACAAGTGTCTTACTGAGCTGAAATTAAGAGTTGTTTCTATGCCCTGAATTAATCTTATTTACACGCCTTTTTTTTTTGGCCCAAAAAGTTGAGAGGAGGTTGAGTTACTTTTCAAAAATATTCTGGTTTTACTTGCAGTAATATTTAGACTTGCTAATTAAAAAAAAAAAAAAAAAAAGTTTGAAACAATCTAAATTCAGTTAATTGGTTTGTTTTATTCTTAATTATATTAAAAAAAAAACAAACAACAAAAAACAAAAACAAAAAACAATGTTCACCCTACTTCTTGCTTCAGGATTGTGCTTTCAGGTTGTCCATTACTAAATATGTTCATATGACAATGGTGTTTTTATAATAGAGCTTTTTAGTCATTTTTTAGTCATGTATAACTACTTACTCACAAACAGAAATGTGGATCAGTTCGGTGCGGTAGTATGTTTAACATGTGGTACTCGAGTTGCTTCTGTGTAGTTCTTGGCACTACTCTTGTGCCTGGGAAGGGAGCCCCCACTAATTAGCTGCAAGAGTGCCACAGCCTTCAACCTTCAATATGTCAGGGAGAGGAGGGATTCATTATAGTATAGACTTGCAGAAGCCAAGTTAAGAAGGTTAGGATAATGCCTCTGCTGATTGAGGTTCAAGGCAACGGGAGAACAGAACCAGCAGTGTTTGTTGTTTGGCGGTGCTTAGAGTTGGCAGTGCCAGTGCAAAGCATGCTGTTTACAGGTGTTCATGAGCCAGAGTGTTCCGTTTCTTCATGAAGTAGTTTTTTCTCTCCAGCACTTAGAAGCTTTGAAAAGAATTGAGTGCACAATCTCTTGGTTCCCCACTTCCTCTCCTTGTAACCCACTAACAGTCTGCTGGTGCTCTCTCAACAAAGTTGCACTACAGAGCAGTGAAACAATTTTATAGTAGTGATACTCTCCTATCCTCCAGTTTTCTTCAATATCTGTTTCTTCAATTTTTCTTCATGTTTCTTGGCTCCACGACTGAATGTCTTAGATTTGTTTCATGAGTAGCAGAGCTCTGTGGTAGGAGCTTGCGTAAAGGAAGTTGGTCCTTACTCTTCTGTGAGCTGACTGCCACTTGTAAGCCTTCCACGACCCTTTGT